GAATGGTGATTCATGGAGAATTGACAAAATATCTTCTTGGAGTGATGAGTAAATTCTGAGATTTTTGAAGATATCATTGAGCTTGATTGTCCTTTAAAAAATTTCTGTGCTTTTAATTTATGTCTGGCTGCATTTTTAATTTTAGGTGGATACCTGGATGTTTTCTGGTGTCATACAGTTTTACAGTCCTTTAGATAATTTCTCACAACTGTTTGTTTTATCGACTGATTCTCTTGCAATGAAACTTATAGGAAAATTTATTCTAATTTATATATTTGAAATTTGCCCTTTTTCATTTTTATTAAGGAGGGAGTTCCTAGGCATTTTGCAGTAACTGTATTCAATTATAAAATGTTTAAATGGAACTCATGTGGCTTAAAATCATGATAAGAGTCTTTTTATAATCTGTGTATGTACTTATTCTTCCTTTGGCATTCTGGAGTAAACCAGGTATGCAAATTTTCAAAACCGTCTTATAATTATTTCCACCTTCAAAAACGAAGTTTTGTTAATAACTTTTTTTTTGGTGGAAAGTTGTTATAAAATTGAATATGTATACCAATGCCCATCAGATCTAGGTATCACACACAAATTTTCAGAAGAATTTGTGCAGTAATAAGAAAATTATTAACAATTTCATGGGGTATCATAGAGATTTTTTTTTTTGTGTGTGTGTGTGTTATGTATGTATGTATATATATATAAAAATATATATATATATATAATATATATATCCCTTAAAATTAAAAGATCAGTTGAATCCGCTAATTTGGTTTAAGACTTACATTATCCTTAATAATTTTTATTTCTTGACCTCTCTATGTTTTAAAATAAATGTCCCCTTTCTTTAAAAAACAAAGTTTTTGGGAGGTCTTATTGATAAAAATCGATGAAATACTAAGAAACCATAAAATTGAACATTTAAAGAAAAAATTCAAAAAATAAAATTAATTTTTAAATATAAAAGTTTGGTTTTTTTTTATTTTTATTTAATTTTTTTCACATGTGTATTGACCACTTTTTAATATTACTGTTTCCTGGTCTGATTAATTAACCTTATATATATATATATATATATATATATATATATATATGCACACACACATAGTATAGTTACTTGTTAAGCATGACTTAGTTATAGCACTAGGTCATAAGCAGTTCAGTTTGATTTTTCAGCACTTTCTTGTGAGTGTGTGTAGGCATATATACCCATGTTAAACTATATTATTGTTAAACAAAATTTGGGGCATATGGTCATAAGTATGAGACACCCAGTGAGGATGTTACTATTAATGACCATTATGATAAACTTACAGACCATTACTACTTAGTAAAAATTAAAAAATTTTTACAAACAAAATTCAGAGTTAATGAAATCTAGTCTAGTTAAATTGTCCAGTCACAACATCCACTGAAGCACAACAATTATGACCAAGGCTGTTTTTCTCTTGTCATATAATGACTGGCCATCTTTGAGTGCCCTATCACTGGTCACTGCTATGGGGTACAGTCTTTATGCCTTCTTTACTTTTATTGATGATGGGTGAAGTTGGATAAATTTATATTACATGAGCATGTAATTTTGTACAGTAGTAACTTTATGCTTCATGTTATATTCAATCAAGGAAACTGTTTATTTTGATGTGTTTTCTATTATTTAATAGAAAATAAAAATGCATAATACCACACAAATAATAACTGTATATATAAGTGGATACTTTGACTCTCTTCCTTTAAGTGAAGTGAAGAGTGATGAGTGGATTCCTTGTGCTTAGCAATTAATAAGGCAGTAGTCATTTAAATGAGAATAAAGGCTTGAGTTGTATATTTATTTCAATATCAATGAAACAAGTGATGACATGGTTCTTCTTGTTTAGGTTCATATACAATTGTATTTGTGAAACATATGCAAAAATAGTAAGAACAAAATTCTAATGGTTAAAATATAAAAAAAGAAACTGATATATATATATATATATATATATATATATATATATATATATATATATATTGTTATATATATATATTAAAACTCTGAATATTTTTATAAAACTCTGAGCAGCATTTTATATTGTATAATATCATTATATAATTTATATATATATATATATATATATATATATATATATATCGATTAGGAAAACAAATATGAATTAAATGAAAAACACAACAAAAAAAAAAATGCCAGAATTTTCTTTTTCTCCTCTATATTTCATTCTTTGATGAAGCTTTAATAAAAGTGAAACATGTTATATTTTTAATGTTTCTTATTTATTCCTTATCTTATCATTCTGTCAGATTCAAATCCATATTTGGTCAAAATTCATGTGGATGACACCACAATTTATTCCTGCCTCAAAAACAAATCTAGTGTCACTGACAAAACTAACCTGGCCATGCGTCTCGAAAAGGACCTCCAATCTATTTTGAACTGGGGCAGGAATTGGCTGGTCAACTTTAATGCTTCAAAAACAAAACTGCTGTCTATTAATCACCAGAGAGATCCTTCCCTGCCCTCCATTAGAATGTCTGACGCTCAACTTCTTGAGAGCAACTCTCTGCGGCTGCTCGGTCTCACATTGACGCCTGACCTGAGATGGAACAAATACATTGAGTCAATTGCTTTGTCCACCACAAGGAAAGTTGGCTCCCTGTGCTGCGCCAGGAAATTTTTCTCCCCGGAATTGATCCTCCAGATCTACAAATCAACAATTCACCTTTGCATGGAGTATTGCTGCCATATATGGTCTGGAGCCCCTTCTGTTTGCCTCGGGGTTCTTGATAGGCTCCAGAGGCAGATATGCAATATAATTGGCCCTGTTCTGGCATCTCATCTACAGTCACTTTCTCACAGACGTGCCGTCACCTCTCTCTGTCTGTTTTACAAATATTTTCATGGCAATTGCTCCGATGACCTGCATTCGCTGGTTCCCAAACTTTGAGTTCAAGTACTCTACGAGGCTGGCATCTCATTCTCACCCCTTCACTGTCGAAACTCCTAAATGTAGCCGTCTCTTCTACTCCAATAGCTTCATGTCTCGCAACTCTTGTCTGTGGAACTCCCTTCCCTATTCCAGTTTCTCTGAGAGCTATAATCTCCAGCTATTCAAATGTAATGTCAATTGACATCTCCAATTGCTTTGATCTATCCACCACCCTTCTCCTCATCCTTTCTTCTATCACTCCTATCTGATCTTGCTCCAAATTTTCTGTAACCCCTTGTGTCCTAGTGGCTTCCTGCCTTGCTCGGGGTGAAATGCTTAAAAAAAAAACAAAAAAAAAACTTGTTCTGATGAAATTTCCTCTTTGGTATCTTGATCATGAATTTTATGGCAATTGTTCTGATAAGATTTCCTTGACCATGAATTTAAGCAGAGCACAAAACTTGCAACTTAGTGCCATTGTTTTACTGTTGAAATTACTAAATGTAACCATAATTTCTATCTCAATAGTTTCTTCTCTCACTCTTCTTGACTATGGAACTCTCATCCAGTTTCTTGCCTTCCTGTCAACTATGATTTTCCAAACTGAAATGCAACATCAATTGCCATTTCTATCTCCTTGCATCCTGTTTTTTTTTTTATTGTACTTTCTCCTCAGTAATATCTTCACTCTATTGTCTTTCATCCTCAGTAACACCTCCTGGTGTCTTTGTGGCTTTATCACCTTGCTTGTGGTGAAATGATTTAAAAAAAAATTTGCTCCAGCAATAGGCACACAGTTCAAAAATTTTCTTTTAGTGTTTTTTTTTTTTTTCATTTGACTACAATGACTACCTATCTGTATGGGCACAAATGTAACAATAAATTTCACTTATGAAAAAGTGTAACCTTACTCCAAATTTTCTGTAACCCCTTGCATCCTAGTGGCTTCCCGCCTTTCTTGAGGTGAAATGCTTAAAAATATATATATATATATATATTTGGTTGGATAGATTTGAGTTTGTGACCCTGGGTTTCATGCTTTAGCGATCGTCAGACAACTGTCTGACCAGGTCACTAAGTTGTGAAACCCAAAAGTCACAAAACTCATCAATCCAAAAATATATTAACTCTATCTCTGATACTGGCGATTCTAATAAGTACTATATATATAATATATAAATAATTATATATATATTTTTATTTATATTTATATACACTTTTCACACACACACACACACACACACACACACATATATAATATATATATATATATATATATATATAGTTACATCCTACTGAGCCAAAATATTGAAACTATTTAACCCATTAGTGCATGGCATCCAATTTTTTAGACCTAAAATTTAAAATCTGATGCTACTAAGATTACTATTAGATAGCAAGGTAAAAAAAGCTAAAATTTTAAGGAAACTTTATGCAGTAATGAGTTAATTTCATTATTATTGACTATATGATAAAAACCTTCAAGAAAAGGAAGTCTCTCTGGCTAAAAATGAGCTAGTAAATTAATTTTGAAAAAGGCATTTTCATTTTTTTATGTACATACAAATATTATATGTTATTGAGCATGTGTCAGAGTTTAACATTCTCATTTCTTTCAGATGTATTGAGTGCATTAACATAGCAGTTTCCAATCTGACAGAAGAAATGAAAAGATACTGACCACCAACCTTAGTGATTCAGAGACAGATTCTTGAAAGTGGGCATGTAAACAGGAGGAACGACACAAGTACCCAATTACCAAGTTCATGACATCTGTAATGGGGTCTATAGGTTGTGAACAATGGGAACCATGCTATGCAATCTCACATATTCCCACATAGCCCCTGGATCACTACCTTCACTTACATTGAGATGCTAGACATAGTGATGCCACCATTGGTTTGATGAACTAGTTGAATGTGTTCCAGCAGGCCCCTGCTCTCTTATATGTGGCCAACATGACTAAATAATTATAATTTTAATACCAAATTTTTTATAAGCTTTAACTTGCTATATTCTAACTTTCCAAAACCTGTAAAGTTTTGCTTATGCTCTTGAGTTTTTTTTTTGTTTCAGTTGCTTGAACCAATCAAAACATCTCTGTTAAGAGAAGAGTTGAGCTTTATTCTAGCTGACCGTCTCTCCAGCAAAGCTAGTATGTCCAGTAGTTCCATGATCAAATGTAAGTTAATATAACAGAAGTTCTCAGTCTTTCTTTTTTAACCATTTGTAGTCTTTTTTCATTCTTTAGTTTTAACTCTTCATTTTTGTCAATTTTTTTTTAACAATTCTGCATATTTTTTCCAGATTTTTTTTCCACACATTTTAAAAAAAATTTTTTTCTACATCCTTCTCTTCTTTATTTTTAAATTTTTTTACTTTATTTTGTTGTCTTCCATTTGCCATTACTTTCTAACTTATAGTGGAAGCAATGTTGGGATAAACATGAGCGATTGTTGTCATTGTTTTAAGTTGGCTTTTTTATTTTTTTTTTTTTTTTTACTAATATTAATCATTTCTGAAGAGAATGTGTATAAACAACTACAAATATTAAAAAAAAACAAAAACATGTAAATATACTTGGTTTCATAAATTTGTTTGAAAATCTATCAAAATTAGAAATTAGCTTTGTGCAAAAGTTTCTAATGAAAAACTGGTTTTCAGCTCTCTATTCAGTCATGAGTTTTCAAAAAAGAGTGCTGGGAACTTTTGCATCCATCTAATAATTGAGGTGGATGAGGGTAATCACCAGTGTGTTTGTTTACTTATATATCTAATTACTACCCTATGTATTCTAGTGTCTTAGCACAGTGAAAATCATATTGTCTGTGATGGGGTGGAAATTATTTGCTTTTTTATGATTACTATAAAGAAAATGATTGTGAGGATGTTAAAGAACATGTCATTAAACATAAGATTAATTTTATATTGGAATTATTATTAACAAAATTGACAAAATTATTTTAAAAAGTACTATAAGTGAAACAAAACAAAAGTAGAATTGATAACATGTGTGAGTATTATGGTATATGTCTACTTTTTCTTCCCTAAAATGTCTGAAATAACTTTAAATTTTGTTTGATCTATATCTAAAGAACCCCAATACACAATGAATCCATTTTAAAAGGATGAAACAAGGCATAATTTGTGATAATGTCATAAAGGAAAAAAAAAAAACAATTTCTACTAAATTCTAGGTTTATGTTTTCATAGCTTTTCTCTTCTTTTCAAATCATTTTGAAATATTAGGTTGATGTAAAGTTTATAGAGCTGAACACTGGTCTCATCTGATCACTGAAGATAAGCAATATTGAGCCTGGTCAGTACCTAGATGGGTGACCACTTTGAAATTCCAGGTGCTGTAAGCCCCTACCAATATGCATTGAGTGAGTGCAGTAGAGTAATGGCCTATTCCTTCCCATGACAAAAGGAAAAGTTTGGAAAAAGCATAATACAACAAAGACCTTTTCATAAACTGATTAAGATAAGAAAGTTTATAGAATTCTTCATTTACCTCTTAGTTTCTTTTCACTGTCTGTAATTTTGAGAAGCAAGTTATCATTTCATGATTTCTTCAGACTATTAAATTTATTCTTTGTGTCTGTTGCTTTTTGTTGTTACCATATTTCAGCTGATCCATTCTACAATCATTTATTACATTTAGATGGTTTTCAATAGCACAACCACTCTTCAAAACTTCTTTATTAAAGTTGGTATAACCCAAACCCTAGCTGTAACCCCATGCCATAACCCTTACTGATACTGGTCACCAAATATTATAACACACCTGTCTAGGTTTTGAATATCATACCAGGAGGAGTCATGGTGGGCTACACTTTGGTGAAAGTGGCTTGCATTCAGGGTATTCAATTTTGCTGGTTTGTTTCCTTCATTAGAATTCATGTCGCCTAGTGGATTTTGTTTGTGTACCTGCTGGAAATGACAGGCAGTAGCTTTTGTTGATCTGAGTGATATTTTGATCATACTGTTTCTTCAAAGTCAGGTAATCTTGCTGAAAATGGTGTAAGAATGCCAATAGAAGAAATGATACTGTTGAAAAATTATCAACAGTTTATCTAAGGGTGAAATTAAAAAAATCATACAACAACTATGGGACTGTTTTGGCCCAATCATTTCTTTTCTACCCTTGAGGCACTAAGAGACATCTATTTGTTAAGAAATGTGGAATTGCTAACATCTTAGCAGCAAATGATATCTACAGCAAATTTTCTCTAATGCATGATAGGCATGAGCAGAGTTTGCTTTTTTCTCTGTGAGTATTCAACTCTGAGACATGTGCTCTGACAATCTCTGGGTAGACTGATTTTTACACGTGCATTTCATTTATATAGACTTGGTCGACAAGAATAAACATGATTAGTTAACTTTTCAAATAAAGAATGTCTTGTTAGATAACGCTGAAGGCCATACCATAAAGAGCTTTTCAATTTTGGCCTGGATGGCTAAGTTTCTAAAATTTTCATTGAAATCAATGTGAATATATATACCTGATAGGTTCCTAAAAAAACAAACTCTAAAGTTACTGAAAATCCTGCAGAATTTTTGCAAACACATTAGTCATTAAGGTTATAGAGTTAGGCCAGGAGTGTTAGTTATGATGAATCTTATGTAGTTTAATTTCAGTTCAGACTCTTCCAAGGCTCTTCTTATAAGTATTTTATTAGTTTAAATGAATATTTTTAAACTGAACTTTTCTCCATCAGATTCCAATTTGATTAACCACTCTCCAGTATTCTCCTTCTCGTATCTATACTCTTTCATTCAGAATTATTAAGTTCCTCAATACCTCAATCAGGGCCACTATCCTGTTACAGGTGGTACTTAATGAGAGAAACAGGTGTCAAATGATTGAAAACAGCTCATGTAAATGTGGAAAAGAATTTTATGATGAAACTAACCAAAAGTCAGACTCAAAGGAATAAAGAAAAATCATGTCCAAAGAGGAAATAGATATTTCTTGTATAGCTGAGAATATCAGGAGAGAGACAGTATCACACCATCCTATCTCGGATGAATTTCAAATGATATCTAGGAGGCATTAGTAGAAGGTAAGAAAATTAAAGGATCAGCATATATGAATTTTTTGCAGACAAATAAGAGATAGTTTTGTATAGTTAACATTTAATAGTTATCTTCCTTGAAAAATCCATTATTTTTACAGTTCAGTTACAAATCACCTGGATTTTTGCATTTTTTAAAATTAGCACATTTTAGGGATACTATAATTTCATCTAAGTGGAAAAAATCTTTTTCTTCAGTTGGGCTCAAATAATATTGTCATTCAGTTTCAAATCATCCAGATGTTTTTACATGTTAGTTCATTTTAAGAGTACTTTAATTCTATACTTGTGGCTACTATAAAATACATATTTTATATACAAAATCAAAGTTTTAGTTTTTATATAGTTAACTAATAATAGAATAGAACAATTATAATAATGTAAAAGTTATATGATGGACAATAGATTAGTGTAAATCAACAACCTTAGCATACAATTTTTTCTTTGCTTATTAAGTTGAGAACTTTTACCCTTATGCTGTGGGACTATTCTTAGTTGTTTGTTTCTGGGTTTGGCTGTAACTAAAACTATATGTAAGCAGGGAGGGGACATTGTATGTGATTGTCAAATCCTTTCCCTTGGGTAGGTCCATGAGAATCATTGTGAATGGCCAATCTTCTGAAACTCATGATATGAATGCAGATATCTGCCAAGACTCTCTCTTTTTGTCCTACTCTCAGTTTTGTATTAACAATCTTCTAGGAATATTCTCAGATCATTAGTAAACATCTATGGAGATGATACCACTTTAGAGATTCACTTCCAAAAGCCCAAATCATTAGAGCCTTGCAGCTGATCTCTCCTCTAACTTAGCTCTAACAGCTCAATAGGGAAATAACTGACTTGTAACATTCAATATTTCAAAAAGCAAGCTAATATTTTTTCTTATTCACAATCAAACCTCCTGTCATAATGTACTGTTCGACTCTCAATGAAAATCCATGCTTTGAATATCTATTGGGTCTTAATTTTGCTCCAGATACCAAATGGAAGTCAAATATACAATCCATTGCTAAAGATGTATGAAAAACGTTTGATTCATTCTGTCACTCCAAGAAGTATTTGACTCCTGCCATGCTTTATCTTTACAAGAGTCAGATTAGACAAAAATGGAGTATTGCTGCTATATCTGGGTTGGCTCAATCTTTGCTTTCCTTTATAGTTTAAAATTAATTTACTTGGTCTATTCTACATTCTGCAGACTTTTTTTTTCCATTGATGCAATGTTGCAAGCCTATTGCTATTTCCATGGTAAATGTTCAGATGAGCTATATTCTTTAGTTTCACCAATTCAGACCTTTACTCTTAGGAGATGTCATGTTACTTCCATGGTGTTGAATCACCTTCATTTCTTCTGTGTTACAAGTATAAGAAGAAAGTTACATTCAGACAGCTTTTGTTCCCCAACTATTGCCACTTTTTGGAACAGACTTCCATATGGTTGCTTCCCTGAACAGTTCAATCTTGACCTCTTCAAATCAAGGGTCAATTCACAATTTTCTTCTTAATACTTACTTCCTACCACCTTCACTTCCATTCATATCACCCACTTTATTCAGCGTTACTATTTTAACTGTAATCCCCTATCTTTAATAGTTCTCGAGCCTATTGGGTGAAATTTACTATAATATAGCTTCCCTGTGCCTTTCTTATAAATAATTTCATGGTAATTTTTTCTGATGAACTTTCCTCTATGGTACCTAGTCTTTATGAATTTAAGTACAATATAGATTGGCAGGGAGGTCTCCTCATTTTAGCGTTGAAATGGCTAGATGTAATTGTAACAGAAGAAACTTCTCACTTGTGAAACTCTCTTCTGGCATCTTGCTTCCCAAAACTTTGATCTTCAAAAATTTAAATGCAATATCAATCGTTATCTTCTATTTTCTTAATTTCTGTTCTTTTCTTGTTCTCTCTCCTTAACAGTTTTTTTTTCTCATATTCACTAACACTCAGTAACCTTTTGCATCTTAATGGCTTTATTGCCTTGCTTGGGGTAAAATGATTTAAAAAAAATTAAATATGCTAATAAATATTAATAAATATAAATATTTAAAACTATATAAAAATTATAATATTCATGTGTTGTACCTGATTATTGACAGTCATCTTACTAAAAATGTAGTTCTACCATTTTATATACATGTATGTAATTTAATTTCTGATATTCCAATTTATATTTCAGTTTGCTTTCTGCTTGAACAGAGTCATGAAGCCCAACACTTGGTTGAAAGTTGGTACCCACAAATTTGTGAATTCTTGCAACAACATATAAAGTCAGCTCTAGATGCCTGCACAGAACAAGACCTTCTTTATGCCTCTGTCAAGGTGGGACAATTGTTTTCAAAATTCTTTGACAAAAATTAAATACAGTGTAAAATGATATCAGTGAGATAGAAAATTATTTTAGAAAAATAATTTTCAAACAATAATTTAACAATAAATGATGCCACTCTGTCACAAATACAAGCATTAATTCCTGACCAATGAAAATCCCTTTCTTTTGACTTTTTTAAAAATGCATTTCTAGAGTAAACTTATTTATGATGCTTTTCTATAGTAAAATGATTTGCAATACACTATACATATTTTTATTTATTTTTTTAAAAGCATTTCGCCTGATGCAAGGGTTTACTGAGTGTGAATGAAACCTAGAAAATGTTATTAAGGAGGGAGGATAATAAATGAACAAGATTCAAAAAGGCAGAAGATGATGTCTTTAAATTTTTTAAGATTGTGGTTGACAAGAGAATAAGAAGCCAGAAGAGAGTTACACAAATGAGAAGAGCAGAAGAAACTCTTAGAACTTACATCTAGCAATTTCAATTGCCAATCTAATACTGCACTTAAATTCATGAAATTGAGGTACTAAAGAGGAAAGCATATCAGAACAATTACCATGAAAATATTTATATAAAAGGCACAGGGAAGCTACATTACTTTGGTGGGAAAATAACTGAAATGCCAGGTCAGGATCAATAATATTGTAGATTCTTCTTTGGATTTTGTCAAGAATCTCAGGATATATATCAGAAGCACCAGACCAGATGTAACAGCAATATTCAATGCATGGACAAATGGTAGACATTAATATAGAATAGCCATATTCTATCAGTAATCCTTGCATTAATTCCTGACCACTGATCTCTTTCTCTTTCTTCCTCCATGATTTTTAATGCATTTTGGTAGTAAAAATATCTACAATGATTTTGTATAGTCATTAAAAATGCATTTACATTATACAATTAATAAATCTATTGATATTCAATGCACAACAGAGTTTGAATGCCAAATAAAATTTTAAGTAAAATTTTGGTGATTACCTCATCAAATTTTTTCCTTACTACCAAAAATAAGGAAGTGATGGAAGTAAAGTGATGGAGTAGCTGTAAAATCAGTGGGCAATGATAAGAAAATATATACTGGCTTCCAAATGCAATGAGTATTAAAACATACAACTATAATTATTAACTAAAAATAGGGTTGAAAGCAATAGATCACAATAGTTACATATATTGAATCCAGATAAGATTAAAAACAAGAAAAATTCCCTAAAAATCTTTTTGTGTCTATTTTCTTTAATCAAATTTGTATTAGACTCATATTTAAGATTGAGTTTTGTTTAAGGGGAGGGATTGAGATGAAATATTTTGAAGTAGGAAGAAGGAAAAAAGATTAAAGAGTTACAGGAGTGAAATTTTGGACAAAGCATCTTGAGAATACTGTTTCTGATTTCTTTTGACTGAATGAACAGGTAGCAGGGACAAAATTCAGTGGAGGAGAGGACAGAAGTTTTCTTATATTGTTTTCTTATTTATTTTTATTTTGTTTAGTCCGTACTTGATTTTATTTATTTAAGTATATTCATTTTTGAATGAGTAAATGTATACTTTGGCTTATGAAAATATCTGACAAAAATTTGGACTTATTTGTACACATAACTGGCCATATTTCTTGTACATTCACAAAAAAAAAAAATTAAAATACTGGTCATTGTGCAAAAAAAGGATTTGCTTACTTACTCATTTAAAGAGAAGTATTGAGATGAAATATTTTGAAGTAGTGATCAAGGAAGAACAGAAAAAAATTAAAGGTTTAGAGGGGTGAAATTTTGAATAACCCTCTACTTTGAGTGACTCTTGAGTCTTTGATTGGGTGAACATTAATAAAAAAAAATTATAACAACTTGCCAGCTAGTATACTTTTGCCTTTTTGATATTCGCAGCATAGTGAGTCAAAACAAATCTGGTGAGTTGTTATAATTTGTTTTAGCTTGGAAAATATATTTTATTGAATCTATCTATATATATAAAATTCTATAACTTCCGTTAGTCTGTCCATCTGTCTGACCGACCGGCCATTTAAAGAGGCCATATATTGACTGATCAAAACCCAATTGGCCAATTGTATATTGTATGCTCAAGAGTAAGAAATCCTAAGAATTTATTCTTTGCTGTTAAAAAAGAAAAAAAGAAATTTTCTTAAAAAATATTGTTTACCATGAAGTTAAATTAAAGAAATTATTAAACTACAAAGTAGGGTTTTTGTCAAAGTATTTTTCCAAACAAATCAGCTTATTCAAATTTCATCAATTGGTTTGCAAAATTGAATGAAACGTAGAGTTTGTAAATCTCGACAAAAGATGTTAGCAATAACTTCAACAATACAAAATACTGTGAGTATTTCAACATGCATTAGCATGTTGTGAAAAAATTCTAGTATTTAAAATAGCCAGTGTTTCCTAGAACAAATTTAATATGGGCTTCCTATTTTGGATAGAATAGATTTTATTGAATATAATTTTATATAATTTTATTGTACCCAACGTTTTTCAGGTTAAATTTCAGGAGTTTCTTATTCTGAATATAATAAATTTTATTAAATATAACTGTTATGAAATGTGATCTCCTTCATATTTTATCAGTCCAGTAGTATTTGTTTATCTCACATACTGAGAGCTGCTCTACCCTTACTGCTTGGGAATTTATATAGTCTATGCCTTAGCTATGCTAATTAGGCAGTCATTTACATATCGCTAGAACAACTTTATAAAATTTTACAGAATATAATTGTTGTAGCATACCTATGTACGATAATGGTTATGTCCCTATTCACATAAATACAGTAGTATATTGGTCTGCAGTTGGAAATTCATTGTGGAATTCACTTGACTCACTTCTAGCAGTTGACTAATACTTCTACACGCCACTGGAAAATCTTATATGTATTGTTCTTTTCCTAAGTATTCTCTTCCCTAGATTACAACAATAATTTATTAAATAATTGATCTATCCAACATTTTTCATGTCACACAAGCTTCTTGTTTTGAATATAATAATTTTTTTAGACAGCCAACCAGTTAATTTTTTTTATTTTCATGAATATAATTTAGGAATTTTTATTTTCCATTCAGAAATAATCTTGTGTCTTTGATATTTGTTTGAATAAAATAATATTAGAACTGACAAAAGTCTTGATGGTTTGCTTTATTATCAACCTCATTGTTGAATATTTTTCTTCTTGATTTAGCAGTAAAAGGTTAACTTTCATGAATAAATTTACATTAAACTTGTAAATGATAATTGTGTAACACATTATAGATCCAATGACATCTGTACCAAATTTGGTAGAAATAGACCATACAATTTATGTTAGCGTAAATGACAAGTCCAGAGATGATTTAGATGTTTATTTTTCCTTCATTAATTTTTTATTTACAGGCTTCCTTGCTACTGTTTCAACTCTTTCCTGACCAAACTAAGTTGCTGTTGAGTGCAGACAATCTTAAGCCTACAAAATCTCCATTATCCTCGCTTGTTGAATCTCTTTTGGCCGTCCTGGCAGAGAAGGTAAATTGAAAAAAAATTAAATATCCTACATTTTTCTGAATCATTATTTATTTTTATTTTTTTTTTAAGAGGAAGAAAAAACTTTGCTACATGTCCATTAAACTTTCTAAGCAGCATTTTTAAAACAAATCCATGATTGTTGTTGAACTGTTGTGTAACTGTCTACTCTACTCACAAGTTTTTTGGTTTATATACAATATATTATCTCTAATGTAAATGTGAGTTGTCTATATACATCTGCAATTTTCTCAGGGACTATAATAGACCAGTAAAACTATTGTTGAATAAGCTGGCATTTTTAAGTGGAATTGATAAAATTCCCAATAAAAACAATAATAAAAGAAAAAGAACAGCAAATAATACAAGAAATGCACAATGCAATGCATGAAAAAATAAAGCAATTAACTTCTGTGTGCCATGTCACTTCAGAATGTTGGCATTCATGGCTCTCCACAACTTCCTGTCCTTTATAACCTTTAGTAAAGAGTGTCTTTTTGCTATATCTCTGAATTCATGTGCTGCTTGTTAGGTAGGTTATGCATTGTTTTCCCACTTCCTTCTTGCCTTCCGTATGTCCTGTGAGTGGCAAATTTTCTAAGCTCTCTATCTCATTGTGCCCTAGAAATTTCAACTCTCTCTCTCTGACATTAAGTCTAAGTGACCTTTTTTCATTTTCTCTAAAACTTTGTTGTTGCTCACATGTTCAGTCCATAATGTTCTCAGCATTCTTCTGTAGAGTCACATTTCTGTTGATTCAAGTCTCTTTATCTGTGAGGAGATTGTCCAGTATTCACTGCCATATAGGAGGACTGATATTACATAACAGATCAGTACTTTTTTCTTTGTTACTAATGAAATTTTCCTGTTTCTTAATACTTGCTTAGCTTTTGTAAAGCATCTTTCACCATCCCAATGCACTTTTGGATTGTGGTGTCACACTTTACCCTTCTCTGTTTAAAATGTTCCCCATGTATTTAAATTTTTGTACTTACTTGATTTTGGTATTGCCAATTTTTAATTTGCATATTGGGCTGTTCTTTGTCCTGACAACCATACATTTGCTTTCTTGCAAATGAGACAAAAAATAAAAAAGAAACCATGTTCATAGGCAAATCTACCCCAGTGGATGAAATAAAGGGTTCAGTTTGAAATTCCAATCACCTGAGAAGGCCAGACTGTACAATGGTTTTCATTGTGAATATGACAACAGTTCTGTGGGGAAAATTGTGAAAATGGCCTACCTCGGAAAAAAATTTCGAATCTGCGCAGTATGTAAACACTGGTCCTTCCAACTGTAAAAAAAAAATAAATTGAAAATGGCGGCGCCCGCTTTTTTGCAAAAATGGTCTCGGTCAGTTAACGTGAAAATCGTTGCCTCGTGATTTTTAAACATGCAAATCGTGGTCGGTCCGCAGCTGTATAAAGCAGGCTCGTTTCTGCTGTTTCAAACAGAAATTTTTTTCAACTCGTTGATAGAAGGTTGGACGTACACACGGTTTTTCTTTGTGCCTACCTTTATCACCAGTTGAATTGTTGAGTTACACACTTCAAGTTCAAACAATGTAAATAGTATAAATAATTACAATACCTCATCTCAGAAATATAGACAATATTTATTTCATCTACTGGCTTGCATACTCGAAAGTTTTCTCAAGTGTGCAGGCTGGTAGATGAAATAGATATTGTTTAAAATAAACAGAGTGTCTACTTAAATATGGGTATCTCCTAAAAATAATACTTGAATATATATATATATATATATATATCACTAGTAGCGCAAAGTTTCATGCACAATGTAATTGTCAGGTGATGATTGAAAACTGATGATTGCATTTGAGTTGTGCTATTGGTGAGGAAAAAATGTATATTTATTAATATAAATTATAGCTCTGTTATTATACATTGAGCACTATTTTATTAGCACCAGCACTCAATGTGTGATATATATATATATATAAAAATAATTGGGAAGAGTTTGTTAACTATACATAGTCATACACATAATGAAGCATTTTCAAATTTGGTATGCATAATTATTGGACCCAGCAAAAGTTTTTAAAGTAAGAAAAAAAAAAGTTGTTCCTAAAAATTTGGAATTCAATATAGTCTATTTTTCTGCATAGTGCTCCTCTTTTGTTTTATAGTAAGACTTTTCACTTATGAACAAAAGTATTATTACGAATTTACAGCCTGTTTGATGTTATTATGCAAATCAAATAAACCTTAATAACTTAAAAAGTTCTGAACTAAAATTTGTCAAATTTAAACATGTCCATTCCCAATAGTAAAATATTTAACTAAATTTTCTGCAATTTTTTATGGTTAGTTTTTGAGATATTTGGAATTTATGAAAATGGATCGACTGAAGTTAATATTCAGATAAAACTAATATTAGCTTAAGACCTCTGAAATCTAATAAAAACTATTTTTTCTTTTTGTTCAAAATATATGCTGAAATATGGGTAAAGGGAATGATCTAACAACTGATGAAAAACAGAAAATAAGTTATTGAGTGAGAGAATGTCCACATTGGAGATATCAAAGGAACTTTGCAGAGATCATCGAATGATAAAGAATTCTGTTGAAAATAGTAGTAAGTTGAGAACTCAAAGCAAAGGAAAAGGCTTTAAGAACCTGCTTTCTTTAGATGAATGTAAACTAAAATGAGTTATAGTGAAACAACCACTTTTGACCAGCACTCAGATCTTTGAAAAGGCTGGAATTGAAGGAATTAAGAAGGACAAAAGATGTAGAACGCTTTGTGAATTGGGATCTGTAAAAAAAAAATCTATGAGGCAAACTTCTCTCACTAAAGCATATATTTTAAAGCATCAAAATTGGGCCAAGAAATACATGAAAATTGACTTTTCTAAAGTAATTTTCATGGATGAATCTCAAGTGACATTTGATGGAACTGATGGTTGGGCCCATAGATAGATTTTATCCAGTTCAGTGCCTTTGGATAAAAGAAGGCAACAAGAGATGGTAGTGTTATGTGGACTGGAATTGTCAACCAAATCATTATTGGATCATTAAAAGTTGATGAAGCAGTTAAACTGAACAGTGCTAACTATTGCGATTTTATGAACAAGAATTTCTTTCCATGATACAAGTCCCAGTCTTGCAGTTCCAAAATTAAGTGTGTATTTATGCACAACAATGCTCCTTCTCATGTATTTAAGTTTACCTGTGAATTATTTGAGCATAAAAGATTTACAGGAGAAAAGATAATAGAATGGGGATCATTAAGTTCTGATCTGAATTTGATTGAAAATCTATGGTCAATTGTGAAGATGGAACTATATGAAGGTGGCAAATAATATAAGAGCAGAGCAGACGTATGGGAACCAGTTGGAACTATCATGTCAGATATTGAATCTGCTGAAGTAAAAAAATTATCAAAAAATCAATAGATAACAGATTACTGGCTGTTATTGAGAAGAAGAGTAAAAATGTAAAGGATTCAAAGACTTATCATATGTGTTTATTTATTCTATTATAAGTGTTGATCAATTTTTGATAATTTTATTAGCTTTTTACTGAAGTAAGATTTGATTATTTGGCTTTGCCTAATAACTTCAGATGGCAGTTTTTAGAATATATCAAATAAATTCAATAAAACATTGATACTAACTAAAATTTTAACTTGGGCTTTGTTTTGACATCTAAATTGATTATTTGAAATTTGACAATTTTTTTCAAACCAAATTTGAATTATTGAAGTTTATATGATTTACTTAATAACTTCAGACAGAGTACACCCTGTCTGAAGTTATTAAGTAAATCATAATGAAATAAAATCATAATTTTCCTGTTTTAAGATTCATTTTTGCATTGCTTGTCTCTTAGAACTCAATAAAATCTGAACTTTTGATGACTTTCGTCAATCAAGAGAAGAAAGGTTTTAGATAGAAATCAACAACATATTCCAGACTTTGTGGAATAATGAAAATAACATAGAAAATATAAATAGCAAATTTGTAATAATAATTAAGGAAGCAGCGTAGATAACAAGGAAGAGAAAGAACAATAAGAAAAGGAATTATTCACTATCAACACTAGAATATCTGTGAATCCATTCACTTTAATAATTAAGATAAGTGTAGTGGAAAAAACAGTAGCTTGCCTTAATGACACAAACACCTGTGTTGCATGTATTCTTTGTTGCAAATGGTTGAAGAACAAACCTCCTTTTTTTCACTTTTTGATAGCTCAGAAGCTTATAAAAACTTTTATTTGATCAATTGTGGGTATCTCAATTGTATATAAGATTCTTCTCTTGACATACTAAAAAAAAAAAATAAATAAAAATGGAGATATTGATTGTTTTACCACATTTGTGTGACATTGTAGTTGACCGTTTTGAGATATATGACTGTTGGCTTTGTGATTTGTCATTGCATATCTTAGTTTTTATGACTTTTGGGGCTTGCATATATCTTTCTATTAGTGCCACTTAAGTTTCTGCATTGAAACTCTATCTTCTATTTGTATAGATCAGGTAGTTACTCTTAAGAAGTCAATTAGCAGTGCATGTAATTTTCAACCAAGTAAAAGCAGTTATATATGTATGCCAGCCCATCTAGAAGTTGGGCATTGCTGTTATTTTATTGATATAAGTAAAGTAAATTGTGTTAGGCTTATAATGTTTATAATTTTGAGAAGTATTTGTATCATTCTATGAGCTTGGATGATTGAATTCATTCTATATTGCAAAATGAGTGTTAACAAAAGAGTGAATTCATTAGTCATTTTTTTATAATAATTTCAAGGAGTAAGAACAATAAAAGAGGGATCAAGAAGACAGTAGCAAATGATTGACATTGCATTTAAATTTTTAAAGATCAAAATTGGTTTGAAAGCATTAAGTTGAGAGTTCCACAAGTGAAAAGTGCAATAGAAGAAACTGTTAGCATAGAACTTATAGTTATATCTAGCCAATTCAACTATAAATTGATGAAACCTTATTGCTACTGCATTTAAATTCGTAAAGTCTAGGT